GAATAGGGATGTTGTTGAGAAAGAAAAAAAGAAAAGAGGAATTTAGGGCTGGTGTGAGAGGAAAGATTATTTATACATTGAAATGGTTAGTTCAGATAATAGAAAAGGTTTAAAAAAGTTTTAAAAATAGCATTTAATTTGTAAAAGGTAAATCATAAAATATCATGACGTTAAATCTAAAAGAATTAAATATTTTAGTTTGCAAAAAAAATAGCAAATATGAGACAAGGCTTTATGCTGTAGGGTCGGAAATCCCCCATATCTTTCCAGTTCGAGATTTTGGAGAACGCCGACGAGACGCCAGCCAGAAATGGCCTATAAATTTCAAAAGCAAAATTGTTATTATAAAAGAGTCTCTTAATTTTGTGTTTGATAATCAGAGAGAGAGAGAGAGAGAGAGAGAGAGAGACGAACCTCCCACGAGAGCAGCAGGACAACTACCGACCCCTCCTCAATAGAGGACAACAGTCTGGAGACGAATGAACCAATCCCTCCTTCGGACAACTCCGCGAACCGGCGGAACCTCCCGTCAGGACCACAAAAATTATTTAAATTGGATTTACAATTTTTTTCGAATTTTTCGAAATCAAATTCGAAATCCAAGAAAAAAAGATTAAAGGAACAAAGAGAAGAAGAGTTGAAAAATAATTTAGATAAGATAGAAGGCGACTTAATCGATAAAGGTATTAGAGGTAACAAAGTATTGAATGAAAATAACAAAATATTAAAAGAGGAAAATTCAGCATTAGAAAAAGAAATTGAGGAATTAAAACGTGCTATTGAGGATGATGATGCACAAATTACATACCTAACTAAAACAACGACCGAAGAAATAGAAGCAAAAAAAAGCCAAATTAATGAATTACTTAGGGAGTTAGCCGGAATACACAATAAATACGATATTGAAATAAGGGAAGTGGTAGCCGTGAAAGAGAGAGAAATCAAACTTTTACAAGGCGAATTAGACGAATCACGAGCGGCCAATGAAACATGGGAGTTTCGTTGAGAAGAAGCCAAAACAACCTTAACAGAAGCAGCCGCACTAGTAAATAAAAACAATGAAGCGGCAGAGGCACTAAACAATAAACTGATAGAAAAAAATGCCGAGATTGAGAAAAAAGATGAAAAGATAGCGGATCTGAGGAAAGAAATAGCCAAACTAAAAAAAGATAACAAGGAATTAAGCGAAGGTTGGAAAGAAGACGAGGAATTTTGAAAAGAAAGAAACGAAATTTTTGGACACCTAGAAAAAGAAAATGAAGAATTGCGGAAAAAAAACGATAACCGGAAAGCCGAGTCGGCCGCAGCAGAAAAACTTTTCAAAGAACAGGAGGAGAAATTAAAAGAACTCACCGAAGAAAACGAGAATCTTAAAGCCAAAAATAAGGAATTAGAAAAAGATGTGACCTCCCTTAAATTTAAAACCCGAGCCACCTCCCGACCCAGCCTCTCGTCAAGAACATCGTCAATGAGACGCAATTCTTTCTCTGAATCGCGTCCCTCTTCACGGGCCGATTCTTTTATTGGTATTGGCAATTTTGAGGATATTGGCTTTAAAGACCCTTATTGTTGATATTGTGGAGAATTTAAAAACAACATGGGAGGCATGTTCAATGACCCGAAAAATAAGTGAGAGGATAGTAATTCACTAACAACTCCCAATGAAAGCCACAGCGAAAGAGAGTCAAATTCTCGCAACAATTCGCAGCCAAAAGTCAAAAATCCCGGTCGAACCAAGTCTCCACAAAAATGGGTTAAAGATAAAGATATTGAATGAAGCCGGTCTGAAATGGAAGAAAGCGAAAAAGATAGCATTGCTTACTCTGAATCACCATCCAGTTCTTTTTACAACGAAAAAACAAGCACAAGCAGAAGAAAATCAAATAATTCAAAGAATAGCACATCAGGCGAAAATTCTCGCCATAATTCTATTTATAGTGTCGGCAAAGATAGTGAAAATTGATATTTTCCTCCTTTTGAATTAACCGAACTTAAACTAAAAACGGCCGACCAACTACTAGAAATTGACAGATTAAAAGCGGAGATTGAGAGATTAAAAGAAGTGAGTACGAACGACAAAAAAAGCATTGAAGAATTATGTAAAGAGAACACGAAAGCCGCAGAAAGAATTAACGAATTAAACGAAAAAAAAGATAAAGAATCCAACAAAAAAGACAAAAAAATAGCCGAGCAGAGAGAAAGTATTATTCAGGCCTTAAAAGATTGAGCCGCTAATATCGGGCAACTGAGAAAAGAATTAAAAAAGCAACTGATTTTAAAGGCCAAAGCCACCGACAAGGGCACTAATAATATTAGTAAAATCAGTTCTTTGAGTAAAGATTTTGAAAGCGTTTCTCACAAATATAAAAATCTGAAATCGGTTGAGGACGATACTTCTCCGAACGAGGAAAATAACGAAAATAAGCCGACACCAATCATAATTATTTCTGGTGAGACAGCAGAAGAAAATGTGCCATTCATAAAAGAAAGAGATTTATCCGAAGAAGAAAAGGAAGAAATTGAAGCAAAAGTCAACGAATTGACCGCCCAAGCCATACATGATTGACGAACAGTTCGGGATCGTCTAGGAAAAGATTACAATGGAGACCTTTGAGATACTTGCAAAGAACACTGGGAAAACGATGATGACATTGTGATTGAAGAAGAAGACGACACGGACGGCGAAGTTGATTTTGAAAGCAGCCCCGAGATGAAAAAATTGGCCGAACAATTTGCGGGACTTATTGGTGCTGCCTCAAAATCCCTGAATACGCCGATCAAAGTATCAGAAAGTCTGTCATGAAAGCCAAGCGAACGACCCACTTCTCCTCAACCCACACCCATGCCAGAGGTGGCAGACGGACTTAAAAAGATAATTACTGACAGCGACAAGGCGATTGATTATTATTGTGAGAAAATGAAGAATTGCGGAAAAAAAACGATAACCGGAAAGCCGAGTCGGCCGCAGCAGAAAAACTTTTCAAAGAACAGGAGGAGAAATTAAAAGAACTCACCGAAGAAAACGAGAATCTTAAAGCCAAAAATAAGGAATTAGAAAAAGATGTGACCTCCCTTAAATTTAAAACCCGAGCCACCTCCCGACCCAGCCTCTCGTCAAGAACATCGTCAATGAGACGCAATTCTTTCTCTGAATCGCGTCCCTCTTCACGGGCCGATTCTTTTATTGGTATTGGCAATTTTGAGGATATTGGCTTTAAAGACCCTTATTGTTGATATTGTGGAGAATTTAAAAACAACATGGGAGGCATGTTCAATGACCCGAAAAATAAGTGAGAGGATAGTAATTCACTAACAACTCCCAATGAAAGCCACAGCGAAAGAGAGTCAAATTCTCGCAACAATTCGCAGCCAAAAGTCAAAAATCCCGGTCGAACCAAGTCTCCACAAAAATGGGTTAAAGATAAAGATATTGAATGAAGCCGGTCTGAAATGGAAGAAAGCGAAAAAGATAGCATTGCTTACTCTGAATCACCATCCAGTTCTTTTTACAACGAAAAAACAAGCACAAGCAGAAGAAAATCAAATAATTCAAAGAATAGCACATCAGGCGAAAATTCTCGCCATAATTCTATTTATAGTGTCGGCAAAGATAGTGAAAATTGATATTTTCCTCCTTTTGAATTAACCGAACTTAAACTAAAAACGGCCGACCAACTACTAGAAATTGACAGATTAAAAGCGGAGATTGAGAGATTAAAAGAAGTGAGTACGAACGACAAAAAAAGCATTGAAGAATTATGTAAAGAGAACACGAAAGCCGCAGAAAGAATTAACGAATTAAACGAAAAAAAAGATAAAGAATCCAACAAAAAAGACAAAAAAATAGCCGAGCAGAGAGAAAGTATTATTCAGGCCTTAAAAGATTGAGCCGCTAATATCGGGCAACTGAGAAAAGAATTAAAAAAGCAACTGATTTTAAAGGCCAAAGCCACCGACAAGGGCACTAATAATATTAGTAAAATCAGTTCTTTGAGTAAAGATTTTGAAAGCGTTTCTCACAAATATAAAAATCTGAAATCGGTTGAGGACGATACTTCTCCGAACGAGGAAAATAACGAAAATAAGCCGACACCAATCATAATTATTTCTGGTGAGACAGCAGAAGAAAATGTGCCATTCATAAAAGAAAGAGATTTATCCGAAGAAGAAAAGGAAGAAATTGAAGCAAAAGTCAACGAATTGACCGCCCAAGCCATACATGATTGACGAACAGTTCGGGATCGTCTAGGAAAAGATTACAATGGAGACCTTTGAGATACTTGCAAAGAACACTGGGAAAACGATGATGACATTGTGATTGAAGAAGAAGACGACACGGACGGCGAAGTTGATTTTGAAAGCAGCCCCGAGATGAAAAAATTGGCCGAACAATTTGCGGGACTTATTGGTGCTGCCTCAAAATCCCTGAATACGCCGATCAAAGTATCAGAAAGTCTGTCATGAAAGCCAAGCGAACGACCCACTTCTCCTCAACCCACACCCATGCCAGAGGTGGCAGACGGACTTAAAAAGATAATTACTGACAGCGACAAGGCGATTGATTATTATTGTGAGAAAATGGCGGATAGGGAGGTCAAAAAAGAGAACGATTTAGACGACCTTGAAGCCAGCAAAAAAGAGTTAGAAGACAAATTAGCCGAGAACCAATTAAAATTAGTAAACCGCGAATGAAGAATTAAGGAAGAAGAAGCCAAAATAAAAGCACTAAAACAAGAAATTGACAGATTGAAAAAAAGAGAAAAAGGCTGAAAACCAGAAATGAAAGAAAAGA